ACAGGATGCAGTCTGTACTAGTACTTGTTTTAACTGGAGAACTAATTGTTTCTTTTCTGTAATAAATACAACCATTCACAGAAAAGTGGTTTGGTATTTTTAAAGTTTTATTTCATGATATACTATTGCTAGGTAAAAAATTGCTAGCACATTTAACATATAGTTTCTCTCTTTTGCTCTTTTCAGATTCTACTTATCATAGCCACACTGAAACACACACACACACACACACACACACACACACACACACACCTCTGCACATATTAAATTTGCATACTTATTTGCAACACTGTTATCAACTATTCCTTAATACTGAACTTAGAGGAGCTAGAAAATAGTTGCAGTCAATTAAATAAAGAAAATTTTTCAAGTACACTAATAAGATGTTAAGTTTGATTTCAATACTGAGTAGATTCTGATTATCTTCAGAGGTTGAGTTCAGTTCAAAGGAACATGCCATAAAATAAAATACTGATGATGCATTTGAAAAATAATTAATGGCAGCCAGTCTATCATTTATGAAAATAGATGCCTCTTTTAGATCTATAACTTCTTAAATATGCATTAAGAAAAAGATGAAAATGGGATAAGGGGATGCATGACTGCACAATAGGATGCACATTTACATTATATTTAGTGTATTTTTGATAAATGTATAATATTAGTGTACATAGTTGATTATAGTCAGATCCTGCATATGCCTCAACAAGAACATAACACCCACCATAACTCAGCATGACTCACTGTGTTATCCCTGCATAGAACAATAACCCTGTGACCAAATGATTGATTTCAGGCAACTTTCACTCCAGCACAGTTGGATTAAACAGAAAATGCACTTAGGCAGAAATCTTGGTACTCAGAGGCCTGCCACTGTGAAGCCATGCACAACCAAAGCAGTTGCCCATCTATTAAGTACATGGGATATATGTTTATACTTTATGAAATTAAATTTATATATTGAAAATCTGAGTAAATTGAATTTATTTTAATAAGACATTTATTTACCAGAGTTTGTATTCAATATCATCCACATAGTCATTTATGAAGTCATTTATAGTATAAACTCTAAAGGATTGCAAACTCAGAGTATGTTAGGGTTAAAAGAGAATTTGAGATAACTTAGTTCAACCCACTTATTTTATAATTGAGATAATTTTCTCTACAGTTCTCCCTACCTTCTTCTGCAAAGCAGTGCTTTCTAATAAGACACCATTAGATGTCCACAACAATATGAGAAAGATGAAACAATACAAGATAATAAGGTTTTCAATTTATTTTTTAATCTTATTTTTAAAAAGATTACCTTTTATTCTGAATTTGGCTTTTATAATTTTTTTATGACAACTTATTTTACTTTTTATTTTTTACTTGTTATTTTTAGTTATATATGTCAGTAAAATGAATAACATTGTTTTATGAAATCATCATGATGGTCAAATGAAAAATGTTGCATTTCCTAACATTCATAATTGATTCAACAAAACCTCAGCAACCCTATGTTATATTCCATTGCTTTTATAATTTTACTAGAGTATGAAATTCAAGAGTTCAGGAACTACCATTTAAATGCCAATGTAGAATAGAGTCCATTGACTATTTTATAAATGAGATGATTAACAAAATTTATCAATAAGGCATAATTACTAAGAGTCAATTATGAAATGAGGTACATAAAAGGACATCACTCTTATTTTATTATGTAAAATCTGATAAAAAAAAACCCTCAATGTAAATAATACATGTCTTCTACTATTCATGTGTGTTCCTGACTGTAAATTTAACATAGTAGTTTTTATCTGCATTTGAAAGAAAAACTGGCATATTTCATAGGGTAGTAGGATGTGAAATATACAAGAATGAAGTAATCAAGAAGATTGAAGCAGGGGCATAATCATTTTATTATACATTTATTAAGCTTGAGGTTATGGAGGAAGTAATACTTCTCATCAGGAGGCATAAACGGACTTGATTTCCATTTGTTCTTTGTCACTTGAATAATGCTTTTTGTTTCAGTTAGGTTTTATCAAATTCATGCCTCCCCCCAGGAGGCATGGCTAGGAGTCAAAAAATCTGAGTATTTTTCTCCCCAAAATGTCAAAGCTAAAAACATTTCTCATGAGACACAAAGTATAATATCAGCCAAAATGGAATTCAGGGCCATTTAGAATCAAGAGAAATTACCTCCTAGGAAGTTATCACTGTGAAGCGATGCACAAAAATAGGAAGCTAATGAATCTGTAGTTCAAAATTATCCTTGCATCTCAAGTCTTCTAAATAAGCAAGAATGTCATATTTATTTCTTTTCACTTATTTTAGATGATCAAGGTACTTAAAAGATCGAAGGTGATTTTCTTGAATGAACCACATCAGAATTTCTCTGCATTTCTTTAAAATACATTAGCTATTTAAAAAACTTTGACAGTTGTTTAACAAAGAAAGTTATCTCGCTGATACTCCTAGCCAACTTTTAGTTGTAACTTTCTTGACTATAACAGAATTAGCCTCAGAATTAATTCCATGATTCATCATAGCTTTCAGTAGAATACTTGGTTTGTTTTCTGTCTCAAAGATCCAAGAATATATTATAATTAAAATATAGTTTGATTTTTTAAATTTTCTCTTATTATGCAGGTTTCTTCAGTATTTGAGGATAGGATGTATATTCATACCTTTTATTAAAATTGTTTTTTTGCTGTTGTTATAATTTGAACATGAAAAAGATAATTGGATTTTTAGTAATCTAGTTCCCCGTACCGTATTTAAGGAGTATTTCTGAATCCCAGCAATACATTTTTCAGAGGACCTTTCAAATTTAAAACAACAGAAAGTAATTTCTCACATAATCAATCTCCCCTACTTGAGTGTATTCAATCACCTGGGTCACAGGTTAGTCATCCAATGGTAAACATTATTGAGCACTTATTGTGTGGGCAGCAATGGATGTAGTGTGAAGTATAGAAAATAGAGTGAACAAGCCTACATTCATCAGACAGCTATCTAGTAAACAATCTAGTTAACAACTCTCTACCCTAATTCATAATTCCTTCTTGCAGAAGTTTGATTTCTCTTGAGCATTTTAATTATGGAAGGAGGAAAAGAAGAAAGCCGAGTGGGAGTAAAAGAGGAAAGAAGAAAAAACAGAAAGAAAATAGGTAGATAAATAACACCTGATTCTGTGGAATGTATCTTCTTTTACTTCTTATGGCTGTACTGAGTTGGCCTATAGATATCCTAGAATTTTCTGTTTATTGCTATTCTGGGTCCCTAATGAATCTTCTCTGACCTCCAAAAAGAACAAGTCTAGAAGGTAAATGACAGACTTCCAAGAACCTATTACTAAAGTAATGACTTGAGTAGATTCCTGCCAAGATTTTACAGACTCTTAACTGACTCCTTAACCATCAGACATGGCCCAACTAAGTAAGACTCATCAAGTACGAATTCGATAGTAATGTTACATTTGCTAAGGCTACTTAGATTGAATTTACTTAGCCTCTGATAGGAAGACATTTCTCTTTTGGAGATTGAGCAAGAAACAAAATATTATTCTTCTTGCTTTTTAAATTTATTTTGAACTGAAAATAAGAATTGTATATATTTATGGAGAATAATGTGATGCTTTGATAGATGCATCTACTGTGAAATTATCAAATCAGGCTAATGAACATATCCATCACAAAGCCAAGTTATTAAAAAAAAAACACAAAGATTGGGTCTGAGGACAATGATGATTCCTCATTATGTGCTTGCTCGAATGCATATAAATATGTTTATTTTCCCCCAGAATTCTATAATTCTCATGGACAGCATTTCTGATTTCTTTTTCTAATATACATTAATTCTTGACATGTAGAGTATGCAAACATGGTGAAATCACACTAAGTTTGTATAACTGAATAAGTAAACTGTGTAATATAAGAAAAATGTTGGAATTTCAGTTCCTCAGAGGTCATTTGCTCTGGTTTATTTTGCTATAGGTATCATTTCTATGGTATCTTGGGAAACTTTACAACTGATAGAACCTCCAAAACATTAAATTCACTTTGAAGAAATACCATTTAATTACTTGCAGCAAAATAAGAGAAATTCGTGTAATTTCCAAAGATGCTTGAAAACACTTTCTCAAACCACCCAGCAGATATCACATTCTTAATGATAGATATTCCATCCAGACCAACAAAATGTTTGCCAGTCTGGGACACTTGCTTTAGGAAGACATATCCTGTCACTTGTTTTTACTGGGTCCTTTCAAGGTGATTGAAGACTTTAATAATGAAAAGCTCAGTTCCTTAAATTATAATGACACATGTCCTATGGACCAATATATAATAATTGAGATGTTCAAAAACAAATTTTCACCTTACTAGCAAACTCAATAGTCAACAGACACAACCATCTGTCTTCTGCTCTACCTTTGCATAACTGATTTGCTCCAAGGGTGACATCAGAGACTGAGGTTCAGTAAGTAATTATAATTTACGTTGTTTTGTGTAATTTAACTTTGAGCTATTCTAGTTTCATATGTCTAAAACTATAGTAGCAGTCATCACATGTTGTGTGTTTATGGTAAACAAGGACTGTGTGTGAAACTCTGTACATGCATTACCTTAGCTCACAGCTAAACAGGAGGCAGAGATCACTGTCCTCATTTTGCCATAACTGATAGATATATAAAATTCTCCCTGACAGAACATGGATAGGTAAGAGGGCAACTCTGTCTCACTTTGTAGCCAGCTGAATTCAACAATGTTGGACACATTATGAATTTCTAATCAGTCTGAGTTGTCCTTATTTTCTTTTCTTTATGCTCATCCATGGCTCTCTAACATTTCTGTTTTGGCTTTCATATGACCTTCACATGGACATCTATCTAATCACCTATCTTTCAGAGTAGGCTGCATGTTGTCTTTTGATGGGAAGTGGCATACATCACTGTCTTAAGTCACTATTTTGCCACAGGTGATTAAGACTTTATTAAAAGCATGTGCACAGACACCTTTGAAATCAAATAGTTTATTCTTCTGGAAACAGTATGTGTAGCAGAAAAACATAGCCTTCATCATCTCAGAGAAATTAGTTAAATATAGGGGTGCTGTTGTAAAAGAGCATAGGTCCTACAGACCAAACAGCCTTGTTTAAATTAGCTAATCTCATATTTCACATTCGTAAAGTAGAATAAAGGAAATTGTACTGTATTGCCCCGGGGGCTTCCAAAACCAATTATCACAAACATGGTGACATCACATATACATACATATTTATTCTCTTAATTCTGAGGGTAAAAGTCCAATGCCAATGTGTCTGCAGGGCCAGATCCTGTCTCTGAAGGCTCTAGAGGAAACAGGTTGCATGTCTTTCAGTCAGCTTCTGATATTGTTGGAAATCTTGGTGTTCTTGGCTTGTAGACATCACTCCAATCTCTGCCCCCATCATTACATGATATTCTTACTGTCTCAGCATCAATGATGAGATAGATAATTCAACTCAGGACACATTAATGTAGAAAACTGAAACAAGACAAGACCATTTGAGGGAAGCAGGGCACTCTGCCTTTAGCAAAGTAAATTAGCAAGCCTTAGATCCACCCTATAGGACTCAGGTACTTGAAGCCTTAGATGCTTCTGACTTCATGCATTGGAAAGAAAAAGAGAGAGGAGGGAAGACATTCCTGCTTCTTAGAAGCTTTGGCCAAGAAGAGCAGCTCCTTAGACATAAGAGCATTTCTAGTTGCAAATGGGTCTAGAAAATGCAGTTCTCAACTATGCAGATGCATTCTAACCACAATTCTATTCCAAGGAAGAAAGAACAACAAATTTCAGTGCACAGGAGCTGTTTTTAGCCTAATTCTTTCTTTTGTGATTTCCCTACCTTGCTGTCTCTTGGCTCTTTCTCTTTAAGCTACAAACATGCCCATTCAATGACAATTTTGGGTGATCATTATGCATAACACTGTATATACCAGATACTGTGCAGGGCCTGTGAAATACTAGCTAAGCCTTTTTCTCTATCCCATATTTCATTTATTTCCTAGTGTATTCCCTCTCTCTTTACACTCAAATCCATTTTCCAAAACTTCAGCCACTGCCTCTGCAGGATCTCTAGCTCGGCCTCCTCCAGAGCTCCATCTCAGACCTTCCAACAGCCTGCCAAATGCCTCCTCCTATTGGCACCAGCGCCTGTACTTGGAGTTGTCCTAGCCAAATCTTTATTCTCCTCTCTCATCTTGCAGCTTGCTCCTCAGTCATCTGTACATTTGAAAAAAATCTGCCACAGTCTTACTCATAAACTGGTGTGCGAAGTGTTCCTTTTCTCCATGTTTCTTCTAAAATCAATAATTTTTTAAACAAAGATGAAAGATATGGAGAGAAGGATGCACTGCAGTTTCCATAGGAAGAGAGGAGAGAGAAGCCATGGAGGCAAACATCAGGCCAAAGAGAATCTGGTGTCAGTGTGGCCCAGGGTCTGTGGATTCAGAACCAAGATGCACTATCCAAATGGACATGGGCTTGCTTGGGAGTTAAGAATGTACGATGCTAGAAGAACCTATGTATGCTTGTGAAGTGATTTATGAATGCAATAAGTGTTTTAAGATATTTTGTAACCAATTTCTCTCAAATTCTGAGCCACATACACCTTAGGAAGTGGATGTTTTGTGTTTTTTTTTTCCTATTACCATATAAAGCACATACAAAACAAAATGCTAAACCTAAGGTTTAACTAAACTTGATTCTATATGATGCTGAGCTTTACAAAATCATACAACCATCCATACCCAATCCAGTACACACATACATACACACGCACATTGCCAAATACTTATTTTAATCTAAACCTCAGAAAGTTATTTGAATCTAGAAGGCTGCTGCAGTGATTCTCCTAATTTTAATATTTTATTTAATTTAAAGATCTCTGTGACAAGTTAGATTTATTATGTGATTCTTTTTCATCTTTTAATTTGAATATCTGATTGGTCATCAGTGGGGATGCCTATTTCAATGATAATGTCTCAGGTTTGACTCTACTTCTTAAGAAATGTGCTGAAAAGCCAAGGGAGTTTAAATCCTTCCTGATGCTGTATAATCTACCCGATTCATTTTGTTACTGAGTACTCTTTCCAATAGATAAAAATACAGCTAGCCTATTAGTTAAGTGCAAGTCCCAAGTAAAAGATAAATACCAGATGAGCAGTCTCTACCAACACCTCAGCATGGCGTTTAACAGCTGCCAAAAGTACTGTATAATCTTTTGGAAGGCTTAATCGTTCCCTATTGCACTTTTCAAAAGAGAAGAGTAGTTATTAATCCTGTGTTCTCACAAAATTTTCACAGTAGATCTTCATTGAATAAATAGTGCTGTTTCATATAAAGATTTTGGTTTTATATAACACATAACTGTTAGAGGTTAAACAAATAGCAATGTGCTAGGGGAAAAAACTGTATTTGGTAAAGAAATATTTTAGTCTGTATTAAACTGTACATTTAATTGGTGGTTTCAGGAAAAAGAAAATAGAAATGTCTTTCTGAAGATTGTGGAGTCTCACTTTTTTCATACAATGAGGATTTTCCCCCTGTTTTTTTGTGTTTTTTTTTTCCTTTTTTCGCTCCTAAAAAAAAAAAAAGTTTTATAATAGTTCATTTAATCGTGTTTTAACTTTCTAAAATATGTGATTTCTCAAATGAGTGGGAGAAGTTGGCTTTCTTAAGAGAATGTAATACACTGAGTAACAGCTTTTTTCTATGTAGTCACTGGTCTCTTAGAATTCTAGGCACATTAATTAAATGAATATATACCTATCTAATATTTTATTTCCAAAGTGGTTGTTCCAAAGTACTATCATAATTAACCTTAACTTATTTATTAAAATTTATTTTAATTTTATATTTATTTCCAAAGTGATATTAACATTGTGAAAATGTATTTGAATTTAGACCACTAAAATAAAAATAAAACAATTAGAACAACGTAAAGGAATATAGATATAATTATATTGTAATTCTAAACTCATAGTTTTATGGGAAAACAAACTTGTTAATGAAATAACAGTTTTTTAAACAAAAAAAATGAAACATTTTGATACCTAAAGTGACCAATCTTTCTAGAAATGAATTTCAAAAGAAATATATAATGCAAATATCTACTAAAATTACATTAAACAGTGTAAACATTTAATCTAGTGGTAATTTTATGAGAAAAATGTAAACAAACTTCTTCATTTAATTCTGAATGATAGTCTAAAATTGTAATATGAAACTCTAAAAAAATCTATTTCAATAAGACACCTCATATTATAAGTCTCTAAGATGTGTCTGTATTTTAATCTAACTTGATGAGGCCATGCCATGAAGTATCTTATACTTAGAGAAAAAAGCAGATACAGTACACACTTCCAACTAGTTTCCTAAACATGATTTGTTCCAGCCACCAATTTCATGGAAATGTAGCAGCAAACAGTCAAGGTTCCACAAAATATGAGTTATATAAAGTCTATGTAACTGAATGAAGAGCCACATAGTATGAGTAAGCATTGTGCTCTCTAAACAAGGACAAAATCACACCCAATAAGGAACCAATGCAATTCTGATATTTGTACGCCATGATATTTATAAAAATTGTTCTTTTAATCTAAGAATTTCTATCCTCTACACTGAGATACTAAGAAAAGAGTATCACAAGTTCAAAGTCAGCATAGGAAACTTAGGGAGACTCTAACTCAGAAGAAATAAAATATACAAAAAGGCTGAGGATATAGCTCAGTGGGTAGAATGCTTGCATAGCATGTGCAAAGCCCTGGGTGCATCCTCTGTACAGAAAAATAGAAAGGAAGGTTAGGGGCAAGAAAACAAAATTAGAAAGAAAATATATTCTCATTTATTTTATGCATTTCTGGATGAGATTCTAGACTTGTTTTTTAAGTGTTTATTTTGAAACATTTTAAACATATAGAATAGTATCTAGTCACCTATTTCCAATATAAATCAACATACAGCCTACATTATTACATATAATCAGAACTCCTCTCCCCATGCTCCAGACTATATTAAAGAAAGCCTTCAGTATTATAATATTTCATCCACAAATACTTCACTCCATACTCCTAAAAGGTAAAGGCCATTTTTTAAAATATATATAACTACAGTGTCACCCCACCTAAAAAAATAATTGTCACCGAGTCCTACAATAGTTTGTTTCCAAAACCAGTATAATTTTGTATATTTTAATTATAATTAAATATAATTTTGTTTCCAAAACCAGTATAATGATTTCTTCCCTTCCACAATCATGTCAGTCTCTTGTCAAGAGGTAGGGAATATTCCCTTACTTCCTTAAATCTGGGCAGGCCTGCCTCTGCTTTGGCCAATAGACTATGAAAGAAATGCTGCTTTAACAATGTAATTCCAAATCTGGACTTTAAGAGAACTTGAAGTTTCTATTTCTTTTGGGACTCCCAAGTCTCCACATAAGATGTATTGTTATCCTGCTGAAGAGACCACAGGAGGGGTGGGGAGAATCCAATCACTCCTGAATCTTGGGTGAGCCCAATCTGCCAATTATCCCCACCAAGTTTCTAGACATGTGAGTGAAACCTTCTTGAGTTTTCCATAGAAGCTCAGCAACCAGCTAAATTTCACTAAGTAACCCCAAATGACATCCTGTGGAGCAAAATTATTGTCCAGGTATGCCCAAACTCAATTTTTGATCCATAAAATCAATAATAATAATATTACTCCTCTTTTGAGTGACTAAAATTTGGTTCAGTTTGTTATAAAGAGTAGATAACTGAGACGATCTTTAGTATTTTCAGTATAGAGTCAATGTTTAACTTCCTCCCATAGATTTATAAATATTTTGGTTTTAGTTTGTTTAGATTATGATATAGGAAGTAACCCTCATGAACTCTAAACAATAATGAAAATATTTTACATGCATGTATTTTAATTTTATTAGCTAATTTTATAGAAATTATGTGATTTGATATGCTAGCTCTCTATAGACAAGTGACAGGCAAAGATTACTATCCCCATCACACTGATGGAAAAAAACTAAAATTGAGAGAGTTTAACAATTCTGCCTGGAATTCAAAGTCAGGTCTTCAAATTTACAGTCTAGTGATCTTTCCTTTATGTCAAAGTTGGTTGAGGTTTCAGAGATTTATATTACCATGGTTGACTCTAATAAGACTTATTATTGGAACCATAAAGGAAGAAAGGTTTCTGGACTTCTCATCGTTACATACTGAGAAAAATTTATTTCACAAATGTTTTCCATCTTCTCCATCTCTGCTACTTATTCCCTGGTATACATCTCTTGGAGTGACAAAATCCTAAATTGACCTCTATGTCTTTGGTCCTGACCACCTTTGGTTTCTTCTCCATTTTATTTTCTGATTCATCTGTCTAAAAATCAAACACAGCTACCTTTCTTCCCTGCCTAGTAACATTTAACAGTTCTCCAACTGATATCCATGAAAAGGGATATCTGAAAGGGCCATAAGTCGTATTTGACAATCTTAAAATTTCCTGTATTTTGTTGAGACAGTAAAGCAAAACTATACTCTTCTGAATCATTAACATTTTCACCTAGTAACAATATTGCCATTGACTTGACATCAGTGCCCAAGACTAAATTTGAATTTATAATGGGACCTCATAGTGCTAAAGCACGCAGTATAAATAAATTTTTTTGTTATTTGTTAGTAAAAGTCTGGTGACAATGGATCATATAATAAATGCACAGTCATGCAGAAATCAAAAGAACCTGCACATAACATTTGGTACCATACCAATTAATACCAATTCATTGTCAAAACACGTTCCATTCTACATACCAAATAGCTATAGTTCTGTATCAATAGACATTTTAGAATATAAAAAATAAACTGTCTTTTAAACCTAGTTCTAAATATAAGTTAACAAAAAAATAAAATAAAATAAAATAAAATAAAATAAAATAAATATAAGTTAACTAGATAATCACTTAATGTAAAATTGAATAATGCCATAAAGTTAACTTGAAATAAACAAAACTTCTTAAAGTTATCAAGGAATGCTATTTACATGGACCTTCAAAGCCTAGGAGAATAACAGCTTGCCTTAAGATTTAGGTTAGGTTACCCTGACACAGCAATAGACAACATACTTTTGCAAAAAGTCTTTTAGATTAGAATACAATTTTTTCATATTTAATAAATAAAATAGCCCCAAGTTCAATGATTTTTGACCTAGAAAAATATCAAATATTTGTTTTCATTTTTTGTCCTTATATTAAGGGCTACAGTAATGACATACCACAAACTAGGTATCTTAAAACAATGGAAGCTTATTCTTTTGGCAAGGTGAATTCCTTCTGCAAGTTCTGAGGGTAAATCTGTTTCCTGCCTCTCTTAGTTTTCTATGGTTACAGTCAATCCTTGGCATCCCTTGGCTTGCAGCTGCCTCTGCCCCATTAGCATTCAGAATTCTCCCTTTGTCCCAAATTCTCTTTTCATTTAAGGATATCAATTATTGGAGTTGGGTCCATTTCAAACCATGAGGACCTTGTCTTTATTTGATTATACCTGTAAAGACCCTATTTCCAAATAAGGTCACATTCACAGGTACCAGGGATTAGAACTTCAAAATATGTTTTGAGGGTACACGATTTAACCTAGAAGAATCATACCAAGAAGTATAAACAAGAAATTTTAACCTAGTCTTATTTTTAACATATTTGCTATTATGAATAAATATAAAATAAATCATTATTAGGGTTCTGAAATATTTTCCTTTAAAAGAACTCTGTGTGAAAAAAAAATTATCTTAGACGAGGTAATGCTGTAATCCCAACAGCTTGTGAGGCCAACACAAGAAGATCACAAGTTCAATGCCAGTCTCAACAACTTGGCAAATTAGCAAGACGCTGTCTCCCAATAAAAAAACATAAAAACAGCTAGGGATGGGACTTGGGACTCAGTGGTTAAGTGCCCCTGGGTTCAATACCTGGGGGGCGGGGGCGGGAAACCACTGACCTAAAGGTCAAAACCTCTGCTTGCTTTTATGTCACAGTGGACCTTCAGCAGCCTTGTCCTGGCCTTCTCCACTGCTATCCTCCACAACTGTTTCCCTTCTTACATTTTATCTTTCAGCAAAATAGAAGACTATTTATAATTTCTCAACATACAACATTATTTTATGCTTCATTAACCTTGTTCATGTTCTTCCTCTTCCAACTTCCCCATCCCCCAGCTATGTATGTCCTATATATCCCTCATCACTTCCAACTCAGTGTCAGTTCAACTGCCATGTTTTAATGAAAGTCTTCTGGGAAGATCATGCCCCCTCAGCATCACCACCAGCTCCATACACTGAGCAAAGTGGCCATGGGTTATGGAATCAGGACTCTCATTTCCTGCACGTCTCCTTCCCTATAGACCATGAATTCCATGATGTCAGGAACAGTATCTTCCCCTATTTTAGTTTCTTTCTCTTACTAAAGTGGTCATCTAAATATTAAAAGCTTGTGTATCTAGATGGGATAGGAAGAGTTCTAGCCAGTTTTTACTTACAGGGAAGTTTCCATAACACTGCATGCATTCTAATTCATACTTGTGCCATAGCATGTATTGTGTGAGAGGTTGACATCAGAAGCATGTCACTTAAGCAGTGAGGAAGCTCAGATAAATATCTGTCTTTAAAAATGACTTCTTTGAGTCTCTTTGAGTGATTGTGTAACCCTTTTATGGGGAAAAGTGTGAATTTAGGGGATTTATTAAGAACTAAGCAGATTAAGCCAGCTATGGTGGCACACATCTGTAATACCAGTGGCTCAGGGGGCTGAGGCAGGAGTATCACAAGTTCAAAGCCAATCTGGGCAACTTAGACCCTGTCTCAAAATGAAATTTAAAAATTTTAAAAGGACTAAGGATGTTGGTCATATACATTGCTATATTCACCTCTTACTCGGCAGCCTTCCTACTCAGTGACAGAGAAGAACAGAAAAGGCGAGAATATGGTATTCTTGTAGCCCTTTGAATGTGGTAGACTTGATTGTGGATATTATGTTTATCATAGATATTCTAATAAACTTCAGAACTACTTATATGAATCAGAATGAAGAAGTGGTAAGTGATCCTGCTCGGTGGTAGAGCATGCCTGAGTTGAATCCCTAGTACAAGGTAGAAAGGGAAAGGAAGGGAAGGGGAAGGGAAAAGGGAAGAAAGAGAAATGGGAAGGGAGGGGGAATATCTAAGCAGCTCAAAAGTTCCACCTTGTTTTGCTAGAGTACTCTGTATTCATAGGTGGGTCCATTGGAAGAGAACCTGGAAAGATAAAACAGATCCATATTTTTAGATGACTTTGAAAGCCAAAATAAGGTTTTGGATTTTACTTTGTACAACCAGACAACCTGTGTAGCCCTCTGGTGATTGAGAAAGGGACATTACATGATGTAATGCCACCAGACCAAATGTCATGCCACTATTTTCTAAACTAATCACAATGGGATCAGAGTTCTATTAATCTGCACTTAGGAACTAATAGACAATACAAACATTTTTCCTATTAGGATTCTGAAACTTGTATACTTATACATTCGCATATCTTAGATTCTGAGGATTTTCAATATTTCATGAATATGAAATCATTTTATCTTCCATATTTTTCTTTTGCCAATAATTAGCTCCTGTCATCTCCTAATAGCTTAAAATACAGTCCTATATCCTCCATACACTGGTTGGTTCAGATTTACTCTGGGCTGATTAATGATCATGTCCAAATTTTTATTCTTTTTTTAATGTATTAAATCAATTTGACATGTAAAAGCAGTTTTACCTATTTTACCTGGATTCTTGTGTTATATTTAAGTTGTGTTTTATCTCATTTGGGACTAACATCTCAGGTCCTTCGTAAATAGGGATGGTAACTTGTTATAGGATGGTAAAAGTATGAGATATAACAATAAAAGTGATTCAAAATTGATTATTTTCCAAGATAGTTCATTACTATGGTCAAGATAAAACCAACATGGATAGAATTGCCAAAAACACACAAAACTCTCTGTCTAACCAACAGGGGATTATTTCAGATCCATGACGCAAAGCCCATGATGCATCAGCAGTTTAGATGAATGTAGTTTAAGAAAATGTACTTGGGGACATTAACATTTCAAATGGAACCATTAGTATGTGTAGGGCATTGATAGTGTGACAGGATAAACTCACAATTCCCTTAAAATGGCTCTCTATCTGCCACTATGTAGCTAGATAACCTTTCTATTTGACTTTGGTTTTTGAAATTCAGTCTAAAATCCCAAAATCGTGGATTTGTCTACTTAGCAGGGTACAACTCAAGTTTACCTCTCATTTTTTCAGATAAACTGAAACTCTAAAAGGGGAAACTGTTTTGGTTTACCTCTTGCCTTATTAAATAAAATAAAACTTAAGACGTTTGTATCCCTTGGTGGCTAAGAATCTTACAACATTTCCATATCAATATTCTGAACATCTACTAGCAGCATTTTCTTTTTATGATTCTCTAAATTTCATGGAAAACTTTGGATGAAAGTATATTCAACCCAGACATAAAATACCCTCTCACCATTTAGGGAAAAGACTGCTTTGTGTTTATTTTAATCTGTTTTATGTGCTCCTTTACCCCATGCTAAAATCAAATTACAAGTGAGAAAATTTGCATAAGTAAAAAATTTAAATAAATTGTAGTTAATTTATCAAAGTTTAACATAAATCAAGTATAGGTAAACCGAACCTGAGACCATGGATCCAAGTACATTTTTTATGTTCATTATAGTCAGTCTGTTCCTAGATTTGAAAACTGAATTATTACTTATATCAAAACTGATTTTAGGGTTTTTTTTAAAAACAGTCATGTAATTTTAATTCTGTAAAGTACTGTGTTTAAAAGGAAACAATAACCCTTCCTCAGTATTTCAGGAATAATATTATTACTTTGCAGTGAATTTATCCAGAAATACCAATGAGGTTTTTTTGAAGTGAATATAAAACATAGTTGCAGTTTATATGAATTCATTTAAATGGACTTCCTGTTTTCATATGTACTTCAAAATTACATTAATTCTTTCTAATAGATTTTGCTGTATAATTTCCTTCATTTTTATAGGTTTCAGATTAAATAATGATATTTTTATGTAGTGTGTGGTTTTCTTTTCTGTGTTTAGGTCCTTTCTTTGGGAGCAGATGTCCTACCAGAATATAAACTGCAGACACCAAGAATCAACAAGTTTACAATATTGCACTACAGCCCTTTCAAGGCAGTCTGGGATTGGCTTATTCTGCTGTTGGTCATATACACTGCTATATTCACCCCCTACTCGGCAGCCTTCCTCCTCAATGACAGAGAAGAACAGAAAAGGCGAGAATGTGGTTATTCTTGTAGCCCTCTGAATGTGGTAGACTTGATTGTGGATATTATGTTTATCATAGATATTCTAATAAACTTCAGAACTACTTATGTAAATCAGAATGAAGAAGTGGTAAGTGATCCCGCCAAAATAGCAATACACTACTTCAAAGGCTGGTTCCTGATTGACATGGTTGCAGCAATTCCTTTTGACTTGCTGATTTTTGGATCAGGTTCTGATGAGGTAAGAGCGGCTTAAAAAAATCTTATTTTCTGAAAGATTGCAATTATAAAAGTGAATCTACTTTCATTTAAAAATGGTTGCTTTACATACTTCTGTATTGCACAGATGAAATTCATTTTCACTTTGAAATGTTATAAAATGAAATGGAACTATTTTTCCATTGCAAATAATTTAAATTCCTTCTATTTTTGCTAAGAGATGCAAAATACATTCCATTCTTTAACCAATAAGTTAAGCTTTGAGAAGTATACCGCATAGCACATTCCCAGGATGTAAAATGTCTACATATTAAGTTTGTGGGTGTAAAACTGTCAAACATTAAGAATGTTGCTTTCCTTCTTATTATTGTAGTTTGGTTCTTCAGATTATGTGGAAGAAAGAATCTTCTGACATGTCTTGTGCAAAACCCCTATCTCTTAAATAACATCCATGTTGGAAATACTGCATATATTCCAAATATCTTATAAAATTGGAAATTTAAAGAAATATGATTTGTGTATCCATATTGAGTGATTTTGGGGGATAGAGGGTCCATAATTATAATCAGATTCTGAAAGGATTTTTTCATCCAAAAAATTAAGTTCTCCAAAGGGCTCCTCCATTTAATTGCCCCCAATTTTTTTTTATAAATTCCCTGGATTGCATACTGGAAAAATTACAAAAGGTCTGAAAGTAGTTCTAAAGCAGTATAATAAGAAAAACTGAACTCAATGTGTTGAATTGTTTTTCTTTTTTCTTTTTCTTTTTCTTCTTCTTTTTTTTTTTTTTTTTTTTTTTTGGTGGTGGTGGGACTTGAACCCAAGGCCTTGTGCATACAAAGCAAGCACTCCATTAAAATCTGTATCCCCAATCCAATGTGTTGAATTTTTAAAAAGGTAGTATCTTTTCTGCCTAAAAACAATACATCATCTCTTGTTGTTGTTGTTGTTTTTAAGTAAGTCTACATATGGTAGCCTTTGAAGGCCTCAGGACAAGAGACTCTTTCTGCCATGGAGAATCAATAGGTTTAGATTTTAACATTCTTTTGCCTGCAGAACATGCTGGTGAAACTGTGGGTCAGTTAAGAGCAGAGTAGTGGAAGATGATATTCTTGCTGGATTCTGCAAATATTAAACAAAGTCCCAAGTCTGACTTTCTTCATCAGTAAAGAATAATAATGTTACCTTCTTCTCTCCAGTCATTGTTTTTAAGACTATAATGAGGTAATACATGTGCAAATCAGCAAAGTCCTAAAAAAATATCAACTGCCACTAAAGTAGATAAAGTTTTAATAGCTATTTGTTTCAGTTTTAACTAAAAGAAAAGGAAGGGAAATATTTCATAATTATCTGAGTTTCTTTCAGTGGGAGATCCAGGTAATCACATCACAATAGTCCACACTGATAAACAATAGAATAAAACTTCATTTTTTCCAATGTTAAAATATATACACCAATAGCAAATTAAAATTTGAATAAATTAATGAATAAGCAAATGGAATTCTTAGGGGAAAGTGATATACTCATTGTATTCAATCAGTAATCATTAAATCAGTGAATATTTAGATATGCTTATTATCATCATTAATTCTAATTTATAGAATTTTTTTAAATATTTATTTTTTAGGTGTTGATGGACACAACACAATGCCTTTATTTTTATGTGGTGCTGAGAATCAAACCCGGGTCCCACCCATGCTAGGCAAGCCCTCTACCGCTGAGCCACAATCCTAGCCCTAATTTATAGAATTAAGTATGAGTTTGGTTTAATTTCAGTTAATATTTCACTTGAAAATAATAAAATTGCATTAAAACATGTAATTCAGACAATCACTGTTTCAGACAGGACTTCCTTTGAATAATCTGAAACAAGAGAGTATTTATGAGATTCACCTCAGTTAGAGGATGAAATAGTCTCGTGAAAAGAGGAAGCCTAGACCACATCTCTTATGAACTGTCAAGGAAAAGGTGAATTTTGCCTCATATAGACTGAGGCCAGTCCACAGTTCATGAGGAATTTTGTGAGCACCCCTATGTTCTCATAGCTTCTACTCAGTCTGTTTAAGAAGTGGCATGATATGGGAAAGATCATGGCTTTGGAGTCAGAAAAGCCTGGGTTTGATTCTCTTCTGTGTCACTTACTTGATGTTATTTAATCTATTTAAGACATTATTTGTTTTCTGTAAAATAGTTAAAAATGAGTTCTTGTGATTTTTTAAAAAAATAAGTTGAATTTATATGAAAAGACTAGACCAGGTGAAGTTACGTAATAATTTTTTGCCAGTGTTTCCTTTTCTTCCTCTTCCACTCTTTGGATTAGTATCTCTGATAGCTGATAAAAATCTCCCTTTAAAAACTTATATTGAATCACATTAACCCACAAATTTAAATAAATTTAATTCCATCAATTTATTTAACAAATAAATACTGTTAATGTGTATTCATGTGTTAATGTTGATAAATTACATTAACAGTGTTAATGTACAACAGTTATTATATTAACCAGCTGCAACTTAAAGGAATTCTGGAGAAATGAGAGAGGAAAAGTAAATGGTTTGAGTATAGTAACTGGGTTGTAAAGAACAGGAACACAGGATATGATGGGGTGAAGTAGATAGACATAAAATACATCAAATATGGAAAGGTACTGGAGGGCACACGTGGGAATCAGACATCAGGTACATCAAGATACCTTTCAGCCATAAAAGGGTAACAAGACAAGCGATGGACTTGGGCTACCTTTTATTTTTCACAGAAATTGCAATGAAGATGATCCTTTAACATATAAACTATGCTGTATAGCTATAATCAGGCTTTCCAGTTCATAGTGCTACTTCAGAATAATTTTTTTCAAAAGTGTACATTATACAATAAGTGCATTATAGATATTCAACATCCAATTTTATTTCTGACAAAAAAAGAAAAGAATTACTTCCAGAGCAAAGGATATCTTAAATTCATATAGACTAATGTGGGGAGTTTTGTCACAAGAATAGAAAAAAAAATAAAAAACTTTGAGATTTTGGACATAAGAGAGAATGATAAATTTTAGTGATTAAGCTAGTGATCGCTCTGATGAGAGATCATGTAGTCTCTTGATTTTCAAATTGCAAATTCATTAAGATGCCTCAGAAAGTCCCAAAGGCCCTTAAGCGTAGAGAGCAAAATGAACTGGTTAGATGCAGAGCAACCTCCACTATTAAATAAAAAAAAATAAAACTTGGTTTTATCTCCTTTACTAATTAGAATTCTGTATAAAAATTTTAAAAGTTGACCTAATCCATTTTTCCACTTCCAGAAAATATTATGGTATCCTGCTCCCTAAGTAGAATGGTTAATTTAACAAACATTTGCCAAGAACTTAACCTTGTGTCAGTCAATAAGGGAGACTCTGGCTTTACAGAAGAGCATAAGATGAGAACCCAAGTTCAGGAAGCTTGCAGTCTAGAAGGGGGAGACCAGCAGGTAGGCACATAGGATAATATCTAATAAATACTTTAATAACACCATTTACAAGGGACACACATAGAGAGAGTTCCTGATAACTTGTAGGAGTTTTTCAGTAGGAAAGGGTATAGAAGGATCATTCTAGTTAGAGGGGAAACCCATTAGAAGCATGGACCTATAAAATTTCCCAACCCTATCAGACCTAACATGTACATTCAATAACAAACATTTTATAATGCACCCTTTATTGTTAAATAAAATCACCTATAATAGTTACATGCCTAGTTTACAGGTATGATAGTTAATGACCTACCCTTAATAAAAGAGAATAAAAGGAATATTATCTGTAACAAAATAATATCTTTTTGAGTATGTAAATGCCTTGGGCATGTATACATTAAATAATATAATGAAGTTCTCAGGAGCTTTTACATAGATTTAATGAGTAAGCTTGTATTTAAAAAAATCAATATTCAACTGAATATTATTGTATTTTTCTTTATATTTGCATCCAGTAAGGATTGAAAATTTGTGCCTACGGTTACATGTATGCATATGGATAGGTGTATATTGTCCCATATACAGCCCAGAACTCTGCAACTGTGACAAGCACACATGTGGACTGATGATATGATGTAGTACACAACTACCACAAAACCTGCTGTCATTGAAGAAATCACTTTATGAGGCAGTAAACCAGTCTTAGTCAAGATTCAAATAGAATGAGCTAGTCATCTCTCAATTTACATGGTAGCTAAATTCCTGGAAAGTTTAATGAATATTAAAATGCACCAAGGTAAATTTCTTCTTATATTTAAAACCAAGTTTCAAGGATGGATGACTAAGTTTGGTTTTTGCATATACAAACAACGGGTAGGACACTGAAAAGTTACATAGCACATGGACAATTTCTGTTATTGTTGGAGACTATTGCAGACATTACAGGATTTCCACCTACCTCATTATATTAGCAAATTAAGAAAAAAATCAAGAGGATTGTATCAAATATGGTAAAGATAAAAGGTACAAGAGGGGCTGAAAGTAAATCACTGAGTCGGGTATGCAGTAATGATATTATTAATTAGGTGCAATATTGGCTACAATGCCAAACTGAAGTGGCTTCAAGAAATAACAATAACAGAGCCCCTTCTTGCCAGAATCTAACAAATCAAAGGAGAATCCCAGTACTGGAAGGCTGCACATGGTGAAGGAAAGGCTTATTGTATTTTGAATCTTGGGGTTTTTTTTCCCCCTAAGATATTTATCCACTAAAAAGAAAGAGCAATGGTGAAGAGAGTATTAAATATTGACAGCAAGGCTACTGAAGATGCCTGAGAATGTGAGACTGGAGGGAATTTGAAGTTTATGTGGGGACTCGAGCCTGAGGGACACTCTTTCTTGTTGTTCAAGAGGATAAACTGTCACAGGTAGTGCTTTTATAGATAAGCTTAGAGGCGGAATGGGGTTTAAGGTGTTCCTGTCTTTTACATTTTAAAGTCTGAATTTTAAAATATTCTGACAAATTCTGATCATACATATTACTACCAAATTAAAATACAGTCTCACTACCAATGTAGATCTTAGAACTAGAAGTAACCACAAGAAATTATCTAATTCAGTCTCTAGCCTATGGCATTAAAGCACTATTATTCCCATTTTACAAGTGAAGCCATTGAAACTCAGACTTGTTAAGTGACTTATCCTATTTTATGTACTACTCCTGTTTCGCAACATAATATTTACTCATTCAGCAAATATTTATTAACCACCCATCAAAATTATAGACACTTTCCTAGGTTTGGCTCTTTAGACAACACAAAGACTGTTCTCTAAGAATTTAGATTCTTGGACTGGAGAAGAGGAGGTGGGGCCTGGCAGAGAGCAGAAGACCAATAATACATAAACCAATAAATAACTGTGCAAGATGATTTCAAAAAAGAGTAAATTAAAAAAAAAAGACTGATAAGAAATGTCTTGGGTGGTTGGCTAATGGTAAAGCCATGGAGGAAGTATCATTTGATACTTGATCCAGTCCCATGAAACTACTATGTAAAACATTTCAAACAGAAAGAAACACTTGTGAAAATGGCCCAATTGGGAAATAGGCTTGAGATGTTAAAGGAATAGAAAGAAGGCCACAGGCAGGCTGAACTGCAGTAAGGTGCTAAGATCTCAAGATGATTAGATAGGAACAAAATCACATGGGGTCATGGGGTTTGTTTATTGTGGCTGCAGTGAGAGTCTTTGGAACTTTGGAACAGACATAACATTGATTGACACTTGGAAAGATTGTGCAGGCTTTTGTCTGCATATGGCAAAGCCAGGAGAAGAGCAGGAGAACCAGATTAAAGCCCTTGCTGCAATGTAGAAGGGACACCACAACATGGTGCTAACAGAGATGGAGAGAAGTCAGTAAATGTGAATACATTTTTAAAGTAGGCTGTCAAGATTTGTTGGTAGATAAATTGTATGAGAGAATATGAGAAAAAGCAGAATTGGGGTAGTTCAAAGATGTTTTTATTATTCACTTATTCTTGTTGAAAACTTAAAGAGAGGGGAAACAAAGGAGTTACTTAATCCAGTTTTATAGATGGTAACTCATTTATCCAGATGGATAAAATCCTGGGGAGAGGCCAGGGATGTAGCTTAGTTGTAAGGCAACTGCTCAGCATATGGGAGGCCCCAGCATCACAAAACAACAATGACAAAACATCTGAGGAGAAAAAGGTGTGTTGTGGCAGACAAATTTCTGTTTTGGCAGTCTTAGGTTTGAGATGCTGATTACTCAGTCATCTAAGTAAAGATAGATGGTTTGTAGGCAAGTCAGGCACCCCAGGAGCAAGCACAAAGATATACATGTGAGTATTGAAAAATGAGATTCATTAAATGAAAAATCAGATATAATCCTGGCAAAAGTTGATTTGAGTCATTGTTTCTATACCAGGAGCAGGCACCAACTTTTGTGTGGGTCTTTTCAAAGTCTGGAGATTCATATTTGGTAGATCTGAAGGAAAATCTTGAAACTTACCTAATTTTTAGGTGGCAGAAATTATTCTGTCATTTGGATGTATAAGATCTGGTGGCAATCCCTGGGACAACAAAGTTCTCCTGTGTGTTCTGAGGTGAACATCTCTGTGAAATTAATGCAAAAATACATGAAGGATTGGAAATTATAATAGGGATGATTTCTTAATTGCTTAATGTTAGCTGGATTATCCAAATGTTTTCCTTGATGCATTATAACATTGTGGATTAACTTTGAAAAAGTAACTTTGTCAACGCCAATTAACATTAATGTCTTTCTTCCAATTCCACCAAATGTTAAACTACTGTAACACTGTTGTTTTATTTACACCAACATTAAAGAACTGAATTTTTATCCAAATAATTTTGTGTATAAAACATATCTAATGCTAAAACTAAAATGAGACATATACATTTGTTACTAAAGAAGATGTAGCATGATTGCTCATATTTTTCATAATAACCATTTAACACTTTAAGCAAATTCAAATTTGCTAAAGTAAAGGATCTTCTATATATAATGCTAAAAACATGTTGAAGAAAATGAATATTGGCAATAACTGTGTTTGCCTATATCACTAATATTGTCTGATGTTCATGCCATTCAGAAAGGGAAATGATTCTGTATTTTCTAGTTTTATAATATCAGACATCATCATGCCACCTTAGCAAACTACCTTAATATCATTAATGAGAAGTAATAATGTTATTGCCTCCATCTTCAGAAAGTCAACTTCGATGGACTACCTCAGATTTTCTCACATTTAGCTTTTTGTGACAGACCTTAGTTTCTAAGACATTAACACTCAGAAGCTATAGAACTGTACTTAGTTACATTTTTCATTAGCTTCTGCCTTCCCTAAAATTAGGATTCTTGTAATTAATTCCTTCTTTTGTTGACCTCTCTTCTTTCAGACTTTACTGTTATATTCATGAATTCTGAATGCAAAAAAAAAAAAGGTCTTAGAAACCTAAGTATCTACAAAGCTCTTTGAGGGAAAAAATATCAATTGAAAATAATTTCTGTTCCTATTCATATGTTTGGATCATTAGTCTGATAAATTTTGGAATGAATATGTGGAAAATTTCAGCAGGTATCTGTTTAGAAACAGATTTTATCTGGATAAAGTCAAATTCCCATTTTAAAGATATAGCATTTATACATATTTGTTTATTGGGTCCCAGGGATTGAACTCAGGGGCACTTGACCATTGAGGCATATCCCCAGCTCTATCTTGTATTTTATTTAGAGGCAGGGTCTCACTGAGTTGCTTAGCACCTCACTTTTGCTGAGGCTGGCTTTAAACTCATGATCCTCCTGCCTCAGCCTCCCAAGCTGCTGGATTACAGGAGTGCACCATCCTGCCTGGCTATACTTGTTTATTTGATGTAACATTTGCCTACTATGATTTAGAATAATTTGATGACCAGTTTTCCATGTCACCGTAAAGGAAGAGAAGGCAAATTCAAATTGCAATATATAATAGAATGCTAATTATACAAACAATATAAAGCCAAGTATCTCAGTTATAAATATAGTTAAATATGGGAAGAAATTTTCAGTGGGGTTGTATCTCCTCTTTAAAAACCATAGTTTGCCTGGGTGTGGTGCACACATCTGTAATTCAAGGGACTCCAAAGGCTGAGGAAGGAGAGTCAGAAGTTGGAGGCCAGCCTGAAAGACCCTGTCTCAAAATAAATATAAAAAGAATTGGGGGTAAGTTTCCTCTGGTTCAATTCCCAGGATTCCCCATAAAATTCATAATTTTTGGAAGTAAATATGAGGTTTGTTGTGAATAAAGAAATGGCACACTAGGTAATTCCCAACGTCTTATACACATTCAAAATATCTCTCTTTGTGTTAGTAATGGGTTATTGAAAATATTGAAATGATTGTAGACAAGATAACAAAGGACTACAAACTAGCTTTAATATTACTGAGTTTTATTGAATAATTCGTTGAACGATGTATATAAATGCAAAGCTATAAAAGAAAAGTGAGTGTGGAATCATGAAATTTATTACTTGTGTTACTATTTCCCTATTTGCACATTAATATTTTCTTACAAACAAGATGAATGATGAATTAAGCAGAAGGTTTCATTGATGATTTATTTTGTCAGCCCTGTGGATGAAACCAAAGAACATATACTTTGGTTCCTTACTTATAAAATAATAATCACATCACTTACCTATAGGCAAAGGTTTTAGAGAGTCTCTGTGATAAATATTTTAAATGTAAGATTCTTGCAAATGCTTACAAAAAATAAAGTAAAATTATTTTTTAAAATTCTTGAACGTAAGATTTTCTCTTGTTGATGACACTTTCTGATTTAATTGTAACCAAATTTATTCTTCAGTAGCAAGATGTTTAATACTGATAAAAATTTTCTAATTTCAGGCCTTCGAAAAGAATTCCACTGGTATTAAGACAGAATATTGCCTGATTTATTGTAGAATGTCTAGTAAAAAATATTGACAGATATTTTAAATATGAATCTAGGATCTAATGGATTTAAAAACTATAATTGTATATATATTTAAGAAAGTTAAATACTTCAATAAAGAAAACTAAGTTCTACCTCAGTATAAGAAGGTACCTGGGGCTTTTAATAAACAGTAGATGTAGATATGTTTTCAAGTTCAGATTGGATGATATTCATTTACCAACAAAAAAATATGAATTATTTAACTTCTGAAAGAAGAGACATTTTAAAAACAAAAAAAATGATGTCAAAATTTGTTAAAAATAAAAGTCTAAAGAAAACTTTCTTTGCTGTGACATCTGGCAAAAAGAGTCTGAAATATTCAATCACAATAAATGAATTCTCAGGTTGATCTGGTACTGGTAAGGTGTGGACTGGAAGTGATAAGGTTCCTTTTGTCCCCCTTACTAACAAAGTACCTTTCTTTGAAAATGAATTACCTTTTTTATATCTTATAATTTCAGTATGTGTTTTTATTTTATAAAAATAATAACACTTTACCATTTGTTGAGCTTTTATGCTTTCAAAGTCTCTATCAAGAGTAAAAATTAGCAAAAAATATTCTAATACCAGTAAAAAGCTCAATAAATAATATCTAAGAGAAAATTCTTTATTGCTTCTCTTTTCAAATGGTTGTGAGTGGGTTTGTAGATAGTTTCATCTGTTATATTGCCAGAAATTTAAAAACCACAAAGATAGATTTCTATACCATATCTGGATATTTCATGTAATTAGGTATGCTGCAGGATAACCATTCATTTTGAAATCATTTCAATTCTGATGTTAACATAATATTATGAGGAAGTTATTGGACCCACTTTTCACTTGCAGGCAGTATAAATAGAGTACATTGTACTAAAAATGAGATCTAATAGTGCCTAACTCAGCAAGAAGAGAATGATAATACCTTTGTCTACTCTGTCTTAAATTTGGATACAGTTGATTCTCTCCATTCTGTAACATGGGGCAAGATACCTTAAGTCTTTAGAGAAATATTTGGATAGAAAGAAGAAGAAAATAATTATTGCAACCCTAAGCATTGTCTATAAGCAGTGCTCTACAAAACTGTCACTAGCAAAGAATTCTCAAAGGTATTAGCAGAACTTAATAAAAATAGAAATAAGGCCAAGGTATTTGTTACATTGTCACACAAAAATGTAAGAGGTATTTAAAGAGAGACATGAAGAGTGACCATTTATTGGGTCTTATCTGCAACTCCATTATTAGACATTTTCATTCTAATTTACAGATGAAGAAACTGAAGCTTGGGACTAAATAAATAACTTATGCAAAGTGACATATTGATACAAAAGCAGAGTTCAATCATAAGTTTGTCCATTCAAAGGTCCCCTAGCACATACCTATTAAAACTAAAATATTGCCCATACAAATAGTGGAGACTAAAACTGGGCATGGTGGCTCATACCTTTAATCCCAGCAACTGGGGAGGCTGAGGCAGGAGAATCAGGAATTCAAAGTCAGCCTCAACAATTGCAGGGGGGTGCTAAGAAACTCAATGAGACCCTGTGTCTAATTAAAATAATAATAACAGCTAAGGATGTAACTCAGTGGTAAAGTGTCCCTGGGTTCAATCCCCTATAACAGGACCAAAAAAAAAAAAAAAAAAGGAAGAAAAATAATAATAAAATGACCTTGAACTATCCATCAATCATGGTAAGGATATATGCTTTTAAATCTGTCAAGAAGAAAAAAACCTATTTTTTTCATTACACTCTGAAAACTATAACACAGCATTGGGAACAGAAAAGACTCACATCTCTATACCACTAAACCTGAAAATAGACCAATTCTAGTTATGGTAGCCCTATCTCAACTACACAAATTCTTCTGACTTTTAAAGACTTTCAATATTATTTTTAAAACAATTAATGCCTTCCCTTATTACCACCATGGTACAAGGGAAAAATATTACAGTATATACTCTAACATTTTAATAAAAAGTTTTCTTTTCTTTGACATTAATGTTCTTTTTTTTACCTAGTCCTTATTAATAGATAAGGGGCAATAGTTATTTCATGTGCTATTTCTTCAATTAAGATATAACTATTCTTAACACAGTTGGATTACTTTGTAAAATAAACACCAACAATGAACAGATAAAATGACTCAATAATTGATTGGTAAATACCATGTAACTATGGAATAATTATATGCCCTGTGAATTATATAGTACTTATAGTTGACATTATTTAAGAAACCTAAGAAATGAACTTGTAATTTGTACTTATCAGATTTCAAGTCCAAACAACCAGTTAAGTATCCTGTTATTATATAAAAGTATCCTATCATTAGATACCTGGTCAGTAATAATCATGCAATTAGTTACAGATATCATACTCCAAAGCAAAATATAATCATAATACCCTTGGCATATCAAGAAACAATTTATCCATTTAACACATTTAGGAAGGAAAAAATGCATTTAAATATAGAGTGTAATTAATGCATGCAATTATCCAATAAGTGTTCCAGCAGTTACAGAAAGAGGGAGCTTGACTGGCTCCTTTTCATTATTCAGGTCTTTCTCAGTTCAACTGTCAGCCCTCAGCACAGCCTTTCTTGATCTTTCTGTCTGAAGTAATCTCAGCCACAACCCATGCCCCTGAACACCCCCTCTAATATTATACTGTGTCATGGTATTCTGTTTAATGTCCTCTTTGACTTTTTACTCTGTGAAATTGTTTTTTTTTTAAATATCTATTTTGCCCAATAAATAAACTAGGTCTTTATCTCATAAAATGACCTAGTTTCTTTCTATTAAAGAAGACACTGTGTCTACTAAATATGTCTGTTAGAAAAGTGGGCATTCCTCCTGTTCAACACTACAGTCCTGGTGTGTGGTTTGGGGTAGGCAGGAGCACTGGGATGTTTGTTGGTGAATGAATGATTTACTGAGTACACATTATAGACAAAGTACTTGTTTGGGGTTTAAAACAAGGTAGATTATCTGTCCCACAAATCTTACATGGGTAGATAGTGAAATAAACTGCCATATGTTCAAAGCATTTTCCAATGCAGGTTTAAAACTTTTTAAAATTGAACTAACCTTAACATTTAATTCAAACATAAGAGTTGTTCTCAATGCTACCATATCATTTTAACCTGTTTCTAGCAACTCTACCTTACCTAAACGTACTTTGACTTGCTTATCAACTGTTTCTAACCATACACATTTATTTCCAACAGACAACCACATTAATTGGTCTTTTGAAGACTGCTCGGCTCCTTCGTCTTGTGAGAGTGGCCAGGAAACTGGATCGATATTCAGAATATGGCGCTGCTGTTCTAATGCTCTTAATGTGCATATTTGCCCTGATTGCTCACTGGCTGGCTTGCATTTGGTATGCAATTGGGAATGTAGAAAGGCCATATCTGACTGACAAAATTGGATGGTTGGATTCCTTAGGACAACAAATTGGGAAACGTTACAATGACAGTGACTCAAGTTCTGGACCATCCATTAAAGACAAATACGTCACAGCACTTTATTTTACCTTCAGCAGTTTAACCAGTGTAGGATTTGGAAATGTGTCTCCTAACACCAATTCGGAGAAAATCTTTTCAATTTGTGTCATGTTGATTGGCTGTAAGTAGATTTCTCTTTTGCTATCTGTTAGGATAAAATAATACCACAAAATTGATAATCTCTAGAACATTGAGAGTAAAAAAAAAAAAAAACTATAGACAAGTATGAAGATAATGGAGTTACATACATGGGTACTGTATTCTGTTGAATCTGATTCTTTCTGTGAAGTGAAATACACATAAAGGCTTTTCTGGACCTCAAGAAATCATGGGCATAAAATTGGAGTGACATGGGTCTTGGGATTCAGAAACTGAAACTTGCAGTTCACTCTTGTTGCTATATATTATTTCAAAAAAGGTCTTCATTATTTATTGTTAATAGGTATTTTCTATTTCAAGCTTAGGCCAGATTATAGTAATACTATAGATATAGATAGGTGGATGGACAGATATAGAGATAATTATAGATGGATATAGATAGAACCGTATATATCATAGATATGTGGGTATTTACATATGTCATCACTATAATTATAATGTAAATTAATTTTCAAACACCTTTATGTATATATACATACATATACAACACATATATACTTGTATATGTATATATATACATAAATTTTCTCCCGACATTGACAAAAAATCCATTTTCCTATGACATTACTCCAAGAGCTAATTAATTGCTCTTTACCCTGTAATGAGTTTATATTGAGCATCATTTATTACATATATTCTTTGGAATAAAAAAGAAACTTAGATTATGATGAAGTGAGATTAATGTTAATATTTTCAAGAATTATTCCTGTGGAACCATAAAGGTAACCTTGATGATAGCAAGCAGTAATTAGCAAAAATATGATTGATTTGTACATCTTCAAGAAGAGTATCATATTTAGATTACATACAAAGTTGAAAAGAGTTCTGATGTTCAATTTTTAAACATCAACCTACTGACTACTGAAATATGTTCAAATAAGACCTATTTCTGAAACTTAAATAGATTCTCCCACTTTATTGTCTACTTTATAGAAATTGTAATTTGCATATATATGTGCATACTCGTTTGGCATTTTTATCTTAATAACATTTGAATAAGAAAATAATAGATTTAAACACTCTTTAGATACTCTACAAATTCAGTCCAAGCTTTGACAGCAACCACAGAAGTAACAGTATATCCAGAAGAAATTGGAAGTGGAGTCTACTAGAAAAATTAGAAATTTATATCCAGGCAGATTGAGTTTCCCCAGGCAAATACAATTAAAGCATTTCATGATTGTAATGACTAGAATAAACTTTACATTTGTTTTAAACTTTAGTGGCATAAGTAGCAAGCAAGGAAAAGAAAAAGGTTTATTCTCAAATATTTGTATAGAAAAAATATATATAATGATGTTTTTAATAAAACAGAATCTCTATTTAGAAATTTAGAATTTTCAAAAAAAAAAAGTTTATAAGTACAGCAAAGTGTAGCCAGTTCACCATTTAGTGATCCTCACCACAGTGAGGATTAAATAAGTATGTGGTGATATTTATTTTGTAAACTATTTTAAATTAAAGAAAGCTCAGTTTATCAATTGGTCCATATCTAATCTCTAATCCCTAATCAAGAAAGTATGAATAGTTTGCTTTCTCTCTCTCTCTCTCTCTCTCTCTCTCTCTCTCTCCTCTCTACCCTTCTCTTCCTTCTCTCCCCTGCTTTATTCTTTCCTTCCTTTGTTCCCTTTTCTAGCTTTTATCAATATAGGATCAGATTATTTCTATTGATCACTTAAAAATTCCATGTTTCCTGCAGATAAATTTCATCTTTTAAGAGAAAACACTCTTGTTAAATTGAATACAGCACAATAAACTCATCATCCACATAACATCATTTATTTTATTAAAAGATTCATTTCTATAATTTAATCAAAATGGGATTGTGTAAAATTTGATGTCACACAGGAAAAAGCTTTCAGATATTCCCAGTGGAATCTATCATGACCTGTTATGAAATAAATAAAGGTAAAATTAAGACTTGTAACTCAGCAATAAGAAGAATGTCAGAAATTTGCTGAGCAATTTGATGTTCATGGATATATTTGTACCTGCTATTTCTAGCTAGAACTAGATTAGGAAACCATTTGGTTTCCTCTATTTGCTAAATTCATACTCCAAGCATATACTTCACACTTCTCAGACTCATTAGGGAGCCTAATTTTGACCTAAAAATAAAATGCAACTGAAAATGTAATGTAAAATATTGTATATGTGCTAATTATAAACATAGTGATTATCAGATTTAACTCTCATAATCCTTGAGCTTATTTAAATTCAGTCATTTTACTAAAAAAATTTGAAGACAAGTTGGGAAAAAAAGTAATCAACTATGCACATTACAATAATATAATTCAAGAAAACTTAAAAATAAAAATTAAAAATTATCATCTACCCAAATGCAAAAATTTAAATTTATGTAAATACATTTTATTTATTTTTAAAAAATATTTTTTAGTTATAGATGAATATAATACCTTTATTTTATTTATTAATTTTTTATGTGGTGCTGAGGATCAAAACTAGTGCCTCACACATGCCAGCAAGCCCTCTACCACTAAGCCACAACCCCAGCCCCTGTAAATGCATTTTAAAAGCTTCTACCTAATTACTATCTAATTACTACCTAATCACTTCTGATGTATACTATACATAAACAGGAATCAGATAATTCATTTAAAAGGGTATATAATTCAAAATAAAAAAACAAAGTGAAAATTAATAAGTGTAAATATAATTTATGCTGACTTATTTGTATTTATGCTAATTTATACTATAAATTTATACTTTATTCAAATACTAGAAATACAATGTCTATATTTAATTTTAAAAAACGAATAAACTAGTAAAATAAGAACAAATGTCTTCCATCTCTAACCTGCTTGACAAACATCTTGGGAGAATTTCTCAATGTTTTAGACTGTAAAAGACAGTTACTAGAGTTCTCTACTTCCAGTATGATGGAGTAGCCTTACCCCTCCTTATTAAACAAATAAACAAAATAAAAAAGCAAAGAAACAGAATCCCAAACAAAATATATAAGGTAAATGCTTTCAGACGTTGAGCACCAAGAAGGGAAGTGCAATCCCTGAGAGAAGGGAAAGAACCAAGATATCACCATGTTACCCTTGGTTTCCTGCCTATAGACGCCTTCTGAACCACAGTGAACAATAAAGGAAAAAAAATCTAAGCAGACTACAAAATTATCACTAAATTAAGAAACAATATCACAGGATATGAAGCCTAGGGTGTTATGGTGTTCAATACAAAAAGAAAAACAGAAACAAAACAGAGACAACTATGACAAAGTAAAACTCCAAAAAACTACAGGGGTATACCCCTGAGTACTAATAAATACTAAGACAACTACATGGAATGAAAGTCCTCGTGGCCAGGCGAAGTAATATATAAGTAGTAATCTGAACAATTTTTAGGTTTCACCCAGGTTTGGAAGATTCAAATAAACAGAGCAGAAAACCTCCATTGAACATCCAGGGTATTCACTAGAAATCTCAGAAAAATAATAATGCCACAGTATCAGGGCAAATCTTAAACAAAACTTTAAAAACAAGCCTCAATAGATACAACCCAATCATCAAATTATCTAACTATCTGCAAGAACAACGTCTAGTGAGCAAGAGATTTTTAGACAAGACCATGACAGCACAAAAAAATAATGGGAAAATAGGTAAAGGGGATTACATCAAACCAAAAGCTGCTGCAAAGTGAAAGAAACAAACACAGAGTGAAGAGAGAGCATGTGGGAAAATATTTACAAACTATACATCTGACAACGGGACAAGGGGTTAATATCCAAAATATATAAGGAAACTAAAAAAACTTAGGAGTAAAATAAATATAAATAATCCATTCTTAAAAACAGATATTGACCTAAATACACATTTTTCAAAAGAAAACATACAAATGACCAACAGGTATATTTTTAAATGCTCCACATTACTAATCATCATGGAAATGCAAATCAAAACCACAATGAGAAATCATCCCATTCCAATAAGAATAACTATTAACAAAAAAAAATAAGTGTTGCCAGGTGTGGTGGCACATGCCTGTTATCCCAGTGGCTCAGGAGGCTAAGGCAGGAGGATGGCAAGTTCAAAGCCAGCCTCAGCAATTTATCGAGGTGCTTAGCAACTCAGTCAAACTGTGTCTCTAAATAAAACACAAAATAAGGCTGGGGATGTGGTTCGGTGGTTGAGTGTCCCTGGTACCAAAAATAAGTAAATAAAAAGATAAGTGTTGGCAAAGATGTAGAGAAAAAGAAACACTTGCATATGTTCATGGGAACATAAATTAGTACAACCATTATGGAAAACAGTGTGAATGTTTCTCAGAAACCTTAAAAATAAATCTGCCATATGATCGAATGATCCCACTCCTGGGTAGATATAGCCAAAAGAAATTAAATCGTTCTGTCAAAAAGAAATCCCACCCCCATGTTTATTATAGCACTAGTCACAATATTCAGAAAATGGAAATAACCCAAATGTCTATCAACTGATGAATGGATAAACAAATATAGAACATATATATATATATAAAATGTATATATATATATAATATGTATATATATGGAATATATATGTAAATATGAAACATTAATATAATTAATTCAACCTTAAAAGAGAATGAAATCTGTCATTTAAAGTAACATGGATAAAGCTGAAAATATTTAAGTATAACAAGCCAAGAGAAGATAGAAATTGCATGTTCTTGCTCATATGTAGAAAATAAAAAAGTTGACCTCAAAGAAATTAAGAGTGTAATGGTGTTTACAAGGATAGAAAGAGATAGAAGAGGGTAGGGAGGAGTGGAAAGAGATGGAATTAAGGGCTTTAAAGTTACAGTTGCATAGGGGTAAAAAGTTTTGTTGTGCTATTAGACAGTGGGGTCACTAAAGATAGTGATTGGGATTAGACCAAAGGATTTTAGTATTTTAATCACAAAGAAATGATAAATGTTTGAGGAGACACATAAAGTTGAACTGACTTATACATTATG